TTTTAGAACAATAGCTGGTTGTCTCCCTTAGCTACAGGTGGGCACTACAGTATTGGAGACCAAGATTTGAAGTCTTACATCTGAGCAGTACTTTCTGGTTAGGAACAAAAGCATCAATGAGAAATAATTGTCTAAATAACTTTTTACATAGACTTAAGCCTAATGTCTGGGAAGTATAATCCCTTGAACACTTAAAGAAGTATACTGATGACTTTATCTTTGGTTATACTTTCCCTTTGGGTGTTTAAGACCATACAGTTGGCCCAAATAAATCAATTTATTTTTATACTTAAGGTCATTTGAGGATCTGTTCTTCAGGGGTCACGTGGGCTTTGGAGGAGCTCCTGGTTCCTTTCTTTTACCAGTTCCTTCTATGTGAAGATAAGTCAAAGGTCCTGCTGTCTGGCTTCACTTGGAAGCACGAATGAGATGTTTCTTCTGAGTTGACGCTCTTCTTTGCAGACTGGACACTGGTTCAAGTCCATCTGGTGGGGTCTCCATGGCCTCCCTGAACAAGAGGACAGGTGACGCACCACGGTTATAGGACATTTTGAATGATATTCCATAGTCCCCTAGAACTTAGTTGACCTTGGAGAGCAAGGGGCAAAAAGTGTCCTTTAAGTCCCTCTGACCACATTAGTATAGGCCTCAAACTATAGCTATTAAACATCCAATAAGGTTAGTTCCACCAGTCTGGTACTTGCAATTATCACATGCTATGTAGATAAGGCTTAGGTAAAAAACCAAATATTCTCAGATAAACTTTGACTAGATATGTATTTTGTTCCTTAAACTAGTTGACTAAACTATGACCATAGACATTTTAAGATTATGTGTATATTATTTTTGTCTCATCCTTTATATATCATAACAAACCTAAACAGACCTTCATCACTTGCTTAGGCTTTCTCATTTTTTCTATTTTAGAAAATATTTCCCTTCCCATATCCTTTTAACATCTTTTACATTCTCATTTTCTTTTTAAAAAAAATAATTATGAGACATAATAGCATTAACAAATAAATTTTCCATCTGTTGTGAGACTTCTTTTCCTGGGGATGCTAAGCAATGCTTATTCCCTTTCAAGGTTTTAGTGTCGACCCAATGCTGTCTCTACTTCTTAAAGAACTCCTTTCAGGGTACACTGTCTCTGAACATGGCCCCTTTGAGCTCTAAGTCCTTATCATCAGCTGAAGCATGTAGAGAAATAACAGGACTAGCTGGATGTGGTGGCGTGTGCCTACAGTCCCCAATATTAAGGGAGACTGTGTGGGTCTGGGAGTTCACAGCCAGTCTGGACCTCTAAGTGAAGCCCTCTCTCAAAACAAAACAAACAAAAACAACCCCTCCAAATAGTAAGACCCTTCTTCCTTCCAGGTGAGGGAGAATAAGAACCCAGAAGCCAGGCTCTGGCACTGCTAACAGGAAGAAAATAAGACTATTTATTAAAATTCAAGGAAAGACTCTCTAAGGATAAGGAGGCTCTCGGCACATTACTATTACTTGGGCTTTTAGCCAAAGATGGATTGTATCATGATAATGGATTTGAATAAATACATGTGTGCATATGTTTGCTTTATTACAGTACAATGTACTAACCGTTCACTATTTTAAAACTTTCTTCTTTCACTGAATGGCACTGGGTGCATTTACAATTTGACCAACTGCCACTACCCTTTCCCACATTTGTAACATCCTAAACAGAAATTTTGCGCCCATTAAACAATAAATAACTCCCCATTCACCACTCCCATTGCTCCTGGTGACCTTTCTTCTTTCTGTCTCCATACATTTGTCTGTTATGGGTTTCGCGTGTAAGTGGAAACACACACCTTTGTAGGCATTGGCTGCTTAAGACAGGCCAGTAGCAGGAGAAGCAGTAGACAAGCCTAACACAGCTTCCCTCTCTGGCTCTTTCCCTCCTGGCACATGTCTTAGTGTGTACCCCCAAACAGCATTAGCCTCTTCCTTCCCCAACTTCTGTGTGGGGACGACACCATTGGGGTCCTGCTGGTAGCTTATTACGGACTTCATTTCATCTCATTTCCTTCCTCTTTTGTATAGACTGATTTCCCCTTTGCTGACTCTGTCGGCTGAGTTCAAAAGCAGGGTCAAAGCTCTGCTCACAGCACAAATGGCTTCTTGTGATGCCTGGCTGGGTTTTGCAGGACAGCTGCCAGGCTTTTAGTCTCTTGTGAGGATGAGGATGTTCTGGCCACAAGGGAGCTTTGTGTGTGTTCAACCGATGCTGGCTGCCTGAAGTGGTAAACTGTCCCTGACATTCATGGCTTGCAAGCCACAGGTCTTGGTCTTAGAGGGCACCGTGACCTTGCAGTGGACCTTCCCCATGAGAAGGAATCAACAAACCAGCCCCTGCTTTACATGGGTGGTACTCAGTTTGGAGTTATCAGTGATTTTCAGTGACTTTCTGAGAACTGGTCAATCACTTAGGCAGCCTCAGAAAGCCCATCCCTCTGTATTTAGTGCTTGGGAAATTTTACTTCCACACCCCAGAAAGAACTCAAAAGAGTACTCAATGAGTACTTCTAGCTTGAAAAATTTGTTCTTGAACTTTCCTTCTTAGTATTAGGTATTTGCTTTCTAAATATGAACTTCCTTTGTGACCAGATAGAAAATATGTATAGTCGTGTGTGTGTGTGTGTGTGTGTGTGTGTGTGTGTGTGTGTAGATACATGTAAAGAACAAAAGGCAACCTTGTGGATTGTTCCTTACATGGCATCCACCTTGTTTGTGAAGACAGGGGCTCACTAGCCTGGAATTTGCTAAGTAGGCTGGGATAGCTAGCCAGTGAGCCCCAGGGGTCCGCCTATCTCTGCCTGTCACTGCTGGGATTACAGGTGTGCCTGGATTTTTTAAAAAAACATAAGTTCTGAGAAGTGAACTCAAGTCTTCATGCTTACAAAGCAAGCATTTTACCAAATGAGCTCTCTCCAGAGCTGAAATACACATATTCAAATTTAGTAGGGTGCTCACACAGCAGGGCACAGGCTAGCCTTATGGCAATTTTGGTAAAAGTGGTTTAAAAAGGATTGATCAAACACCCACCATCTTGATCCAAAATTTCCTAGTTACCCTATGAGACTACTCTTTTTTACTTCTTTGTCTTTTCTTTTCTTGTTTTCAGGATTCTGGCTTCAATCTAGGGCCTTGTGCATTCTAGCACTCTGCACTGACCTGTATCCCTAGCCTAAGAAGGTTTCTCTTAATTAGGACTTTATCTAGTCTGCCATCTTGTTTTTCGGTGCTCAGGACTGAACTCAGGGACTTGAGCATGAGCTCCAACACTCATCTATACCCCCAGCTCCCCAAACATTTGTTTTTACTTTTTGATTACTATAGTTGCTGTGACAAAATACTTGACAGAAATAACTCAAGGGAGGAAAGGTTTATTTGGCTCACAGTCTTAGAGGGGTTTCAATGGGTAGAAGACAGGGTGGCAGGCATATTACATCTGTGGGGGTGGCAGGAGGTAAAGGCTTGTTCATGTGGCAGGGGACCAGGAAGCAGAAAGCTATAGAAAAGGACTGGCCTATAAATTCTACCAGCCAGGTCCTACCTCCAAAAGGTTGCACAGCCTCCCCAAATACCACCAGTCACTGGGAAACAAGCTTTCAGAACATGAGCCTCTGGGCGATATTCCAGATTCGAACCTCAACACTAATTTACTTCACATGATATTTGCTGTTGTTTTATGATTCTTTTTCTTGACTTTTCCATGACTTCTCTTTCTTTATAGATATTCTTGGAACAGGTTCTTGCAAGGTCCCCTTTTCATTCTTTTTATGCTTTTGTGAACATAAGCTTTGGTGTCAGGCACATCTGTCTTAAAAATCTGACTGTGCTACGTACTAGCTGTGTGACCTTGGACAGGTTGCTGAACAACTTTGCAAGCCAGGGACTCCTCATGTTTGAAATGAGAACAAGGATTCGTTATTGTTAGACATGTTTATTAGACTGCTTAAAATAATTAGGCAAGGTACCAGGCACAGTAGATGAGCAATAAATATTAGCACTAGCCCACACATTTTGCTTGTTGATTTTTTGAGAAATAGTCTTGCTACGTAGCCCAGGCTGGCATTAAAGTTGCACTCCTCCTATCTCCACACTTGAATCCTCTTTCTGACTTTTTAATGTAAGGTTTTCCAAGTTGGTATTCAGTTCACCTAAATTCCTGAATGGGAACCCCACGTAAGCAGAATTCTTCCAGTTGTAAGCCAGTATAGATTCCAAACAAACTGGTCTCAAAGGAAGGGGAAGGAAGCTAGTATTCATCCGACTTTGTCATATTCGTTTCTACCTTCCTCCGAAGAAGCAACGACTAGTAAATTTAACCACTCCAAACCAGAATGTGCCAGGCACTGGGGCCGTTTCAGAGATGCCAGGCATGTTATTAAATCCAAAATACCACTGCATTTGCTCTATTTGACCAAGGACAGAGCCAAGGGACCAGAGAAAGTGACAGAGTTCGGTTGTATGGAGAAGAGACACTTCTCAGAGAGCCAGGACCAACTTCTCTTATAACTGCAGGAGATGCTAGGGATGCCAGGGCTGTGTACTTGATTAACCTGTCTGTATCTTTTCCCTAGAGAGAAGTCATGGCCCTTGGAGAGCGCGCTGCGCCCCCTAGGGGCCCGAGGGCTTTAGCTTGCTTAGCCTGGCATGGGTTTGGGTTTCTGTTTGTGAAAACTCTTTATTCCTTGGCAGCTTCTTGCAGCACCATCAAAATCTCGGAGCTGTTCAGCGGCACACCTAGCTGCCCTAGGGGAAGGTGGAGATTAGGATGGACCTAATGGTCAGTGAGCCGCAGTCCGCGCGAGTGAGTCGTGGTCCCCGCTGGACCCACAGGGTCCGGTGCAGACGCATCCAAGTGGCTCTATTTTTCAAGCAATTACAGTGTGCAGTTGCAGTGGGGAGCTCATTTGTGCGAAGTCTGCGTTTCCGGCTTATTTCATCCGGGGGTGGGGTGGTGGGGTCCTAGT